AGAAAACTTAAAAAATAAACACAGTAGGCCATTATCTCAGCATTTGGTTCACTTCAGTGAAGAAAAGTAAATGTAAAGTAAATTATCAATTATCTAAGGGACACAAAACAACGCATATATATAAAAAAGAAGCCTAGTAAGTCTGTAGGATTGTTAAAAATTATTTAAAAAAATACATAAAACAGAGAATTGAATAAAAATAATCTTCTCAAAATTCATCCAAATCTCATTTTACAAAATTTAAATACGTTTTTATCAAAATTCTGCTGTTTCCATCAACCTTCTCTAATGCGATACTTGCTGCTGTCCTTCACTTGTTAAGAAAACTTTCTCTTAACCTTAATAACATCCGTCAGTGTCCTCAGCCTGTCTCTCAGCTCTGGTAGATCCCTGTGGCTCAGCATCTCATTAGAGGCAATAACATTTCTATTGTAACGCCGTAGTTATAGGCAGCTCCAGTATTTTGGTCCCAGCAGTGGTTGTTTTTATTGAAGGGCAATATTATGTAATGCCTGTGAGACAGACACTGTGAGACAAATGGGACGGTACGTGAGAGAGAGATAGGGAGGGAGGGAGGGAGGGGGAGAACGCATGAAGGGATAAACCTTCAGCAACAACCCACCGTCTCACACCTACAGGCGGATGTGATAGAAAGCTAAAATGAGTTCATGTTTATTAAATATTAGCAGGTCAGTGTTTCTTCCTGACCACAAACTACATAAACTGTAAAAAACTTGCATTTAACATGTTAGTTGCTTTAATTGATTCACATTTATTCATCAATCAAGTGTTATATGTTAGATATGTGCTCTTCAGTTACCCTCACTACTTTTTTTATTTAATAGTTCATCATCAAAGTTCATGGTATCTTTCTCCCAGTTCCCGAATTGGACCAAAAAAAGGTGCCAGTACCCTCATTCAGCACAACCCGAACCCTAAACACAACATGACCCCAGGGGCATTTCCAGACTTTTTGGACTGGGGGGGAACTGGCTTATATACTGGCTATATGTCTCAGCTTTCCAGTCATTTCCAACTTGTGCAATTCCAACACGGTTTATGGACCCCAGTATGCAGAAATATTTGAATAACACATTTATACTATACTATATAAGAACTGCACCATTTTTGCCCCAAATCCGCATTGGATTAGCATAAAAACAGTCAGATATCTTGAGGTCAGAGGTCAAGGGATCCCTTTGACAGCCATGCTAGTTTTTCCATTGCCAGAATTTACCCTAATTTTGCCTTTTGGAACGTTTTTTATTCCCTTCCCCTACATGCATGACATGGTTGGTATCAATGGATGCGTTAGGTCACCTAGTTTCATGTGATACCAGTTTCTTTACCTCCAAACACAGTGCGGAGTGGAAGAGGTAAGGATAATGCCCCTCCCCTAGGCCTCACCTCTGGATACAGCCCTGCATAACCCTAATCCTAATTCTTTTGACTTTTTTTTTCTTCCCTTTTTAACAAAGAAATTGTCTGTGCTGCATTCTTACCCATAATCTAATCTTTACATGGAGACACAGTTACTTTGTGTCTTGTTTACTAGCTGACCAGCTACTCACCTGCACTGCTGTACTCAGGCTACTAAACCTAAACTTGCTAAGAGGGTTTGGGGGTATCAAAGCATCAAAATTGTTATTTTTAGGCAATTATTGTTAACTTTGTATACCTATCAGAAAAAAATACCGAGGTCTGGACCTCAGTGATGGGTGCAGCTATAATCATCAGAGGTGGCGGTGCTCAATAAGAAGTAAGGGTACTCGTGGTACCGTCGGGTACTGGCCCATTTCAGACACTGCTGAAATCCTTCATGTTTAACGCTCCCTCCAACTGGAATAATCTACCTGTAAATATTCAGCCTGTTCAGAAATGCCCCCCTTAGCATCAATTGTACAAATGTTCCTAATGACAGTTGTATCTGCCCATAATAACACCTTTATAATTTTGTAATCATGGTTTGTAACTCTATTACCTAATGCTTTCACTGGCGTGATGCTTATCAGGACAAAATATCAGCTTTCAGCATATATATATATATATATATATATTATGTACAGCTCACCAACAGAAAAAAAACCCCAGAAGATTTCTTCTGATGTCTGCTTTTTGCCTGCTCCATCACCTCCAAACAGCCCGAAGGAAACACACACACACACACACACACACACACACACTGTCTGTTGCATCCAGAGTCCCTGCAGGACAGCTTTTCATCTAACACCAAGACACCATGCCCGACCGACCATGTCACCGCCTCTGATCTCTCTCTCTTTCTCTCTCACACACACACACACACCCTCTGAGGCATCCACAAGGTCATGAGGTTACAACTCGACAAGCAGAAGTGATGATTTTCTTCTAGCAGACAGTCTGAGTGAGTGAGTGAGTGAGTGAGTGAGTGAGTGAGGGAAGGACGGAGCCCTTGTGGCATGTCTGCTTCTGGAAGCTAAATATGTGTTGCAAGAAATAAAAAAAAAAAAAATAATTCACTGTGAATACACTGAATAGCCGAGCAACGCAGCAACAACAACCAGACCAGACCAACGACAGACAACAGACTGACTGACTGACTGACTGACTGACTGACTGACTGACCTGTTCCCTTAGTCGTGTTGCAGTAAGAGAGTGGAGAAAGTATTTATCCCTTTAGGAAAAAAAAAAGAGTATCTTGATTTTATCTATTGTATCTTGAGCTCAATTTACAGATAATAGGGTCAGTTTTCAATTTATCCTAAAACAATCTATTAAATGAAATACAGATTTGTATACACACATTTAGTTTTCTTCAATTTTGTAACATTTGTTACAAATTTCGTCCAAAGTAAAGTATAAATCTCCCCTGATTTTATTTGCTAAATTTCTTCCTCCTGCTAAATTCACTCATTTTGTCTCATTTATAAAGTATCTTAAATGTGCACAGTGTTTTGCTGATTATGTAAAATTTAGATCCTTAACTCCTGCTAAATGCACTTAAATTGTCCGGTTTATAAAGGGAGCGTACGTTCTGTAAGAAGCAGGTGAGGTCTCCAAACTACAGCTACTGTGAGGAAAAAACCAAAGCCTGTAAACCTAAATGAGAGCCTTAACTTTTCCTAAATGCACGTTTTGTCGTTTGTTTTACCGAAAGAAGGAACCTCAATGCCTTTATTTAGTTTCATTTATATTAAGTATTTATAATGTGTATGTTTTACTGATGATGTAAATGTATAACTCTTCAAAATGGACGCTTTTCCCGCCAAATATGGCGTGACGCAGAAATAGCAGTAAAAGATTTGCTCCTCTGAATCAATGTTTGACTGTGAACCCGGTCGGACACTCACATCCTTCCCTGCTGATGAAGGCCCCCTGTGGTCCGTCCGGTATTCCCTTCCACACAGTGATGGGTTTGGGGTATCCCGGGTCGGCTGTGCGTTTCTCCTCATTGTAGCGCCAGTACTGGTCCCCCTTGAAGAAGTAGGTTTTTCCAACCGGCTCCCAGCGCAGTGCCGTGTCGATGCCGTCTTTGGGGAGGCAGGTGCCCAGCTCCACCAGGCTGTGGGGGTAACCCGGCTCAGCCGTCACCTCCTTGAACACCCAGTACTTATCACCTGAGAAAAGATGAGTCAGCACTTTAATGAGGGCTGCATGATACGGTAAAAACATACATACTTTAATTATAGTACACATATTTGCAGTGTTTCTGAGGGAATTTGCATTTGCAACCACAGATGTTAAAGTCTGAGTTGAATGGATTCCTTTACACAGAAACAAGTGTCTTTTATAAATGATTATTTAATAGTTGAAACCCCAGATCATCACCAAAATCTAACTAATTGTTCTTTGGTTCAAGGCCAATTTATCTGCTGATCTTTCCAGGCGATATCCTGCCGGCAGACACAATAAGACAGGTGTGTCCAAAAATAACCTTTATAAATAAATCTTATTCTGTCATTTTGTAGAAAATGAATACTTGAAGAAATGGGAAAGAAAGATATAGTCCCAATAAACAGCTCCTCTGTAGCTCTGTTAAAGATCCTGTTATTATTCTGACACAGCTGTGGGAAAATACAGAGAGATTAAACACCGGTGCTTAACTCAGAGAACTGCTCTATAAAAGCTCTTTTACAGGGCTTTGTTACATCGGCCTGGACTCATCATCTAAAATAAAAAAAACGTGGGAACAATGAATACAAACAAAGATTAATACACTGAATCTTAATTTGATAATTTTCTTGACACTAACAGCTTTCCCACATTTGTTTAAGGCAGCTGGACTCAGTGATAACTTTTTTTAAATACACTGTTCGTATGCTGCAGACGCTGAAGACAGAAATCATTCTTATTTTACCCATTTTAGTTATTATTGTTGTCATCAATCTATAGTTTGACTCTTTGGGAAATGAGCTTCATAATCAGCAGCTCGTTTCTGTCTTCTCCCTATTTTTTCCTTCACTTTCATTCTTGGATTTTCTTGCATGTTTCACCTTGTTTACTGCAACCAACACAGCTCAGGAAACAGTAATTACATTACAGGTAAAAGTCCTGCATTTAAACTGTAACCCTTTATTAGCCATTATTATGTACTTAAAATATGACGAGTTACAGTGTTGTGCAGAAAAATGTCCCTCATATATGATATATTATTATAGGTGGAGCTAGTTTGAACTACTACTATGTTTGAACAGTTAGCTAGTTTTAGTAAATGTCTGTTTGGTTGAGCTGCTACCAACTAAGACATCTGACATGCAACATAAATTACACCCTGAGATGTTTTTTATGAGTGGTAGTCATCCGAAAAGGTTGGGAACCGCTGGTTTAATCTATAACAGTAGATCTGTAGTACATTTTTCTACATTTAAATCTGAAAAGTAACTCCAGCTGTCGGAGTAAAAGGCAACATACTTCCCTCTGCAACGTGGAGTAGAAGTGTAAAGTAGCAAACAATGTTTTACAATCTAAAACACCTCATCATATCACATCAGCACAGTCAATTAAAATACCATTTAGAGTCACATACATATGCCACCAGACAGGCAGCAGAAGATCAGTTTTCACTCCCTGAGGTGACACACATTATCATACCGAGCGCTGAAAACATGGAATTCTTTAGCGCTGTTGATGATTAAATGAACACAGAAATCAATCTTTTAAAAGGAAATAAGGAAATACCTTTCGACACCATATTTATAGGAAGTGAAAATCTTTACACATACACATATACTCACGCATACACACAGACAAATAGTGTAAGTTTTACTCATACATGTTAATGTTTTGTTGGTTTTATATGTCTTATGTTTGCCATTCATATTGATTGTAACGTTTAATGTTGTCGTTGATTTATGTGAAACTTTCCACTTTCAGCAGATGAATGTGAACATCCTTCTAGTGTCAAACTCTGCACATACAGCATTCAAACATCATACTGTAGGGACAAGAAGAAACTCTGATTTTTCATTATGGAGGAATGACAGGAAACAAAGAGGACCAGAGGCA